GCCCTTCAGAAAAGGCAAATTAACACAGTTTTGAAAGCATTTAATGAGAGACATGACTGTTAAAACCATGCTTCAATGGTAAGCAAACAGAGATTATGTTGAAACAGATGTGACGTCCTTACCAGCAATATTAAACCATGTCATCCACACAAATCAGAAAAGGACACAAGTATAGCAAATAATATATATATATTTTCTAAAATGAAACAAGAACTAAGCACTGGGATACACCTGTATTTTTGTAACTGCGCTGTGGCCTGCATATTTGGAAATGATAAATTCCTTTATAATTTATGAGATTTTTAATTATCTTGAAGCAAGGAATTTCCATGCCTTTAAAAAAAACCTACAGCATATGGTTAAAACAGAACTCGTGATAATTATTGTGCAATAAGTGCTGTATATTCAGACTTCATCAGATTTATTCGGTGCGTCCATAATAAGCTCTACTTATCTAAACAAAGTTTAAACAGTTTTCAGTAAAACAGAGCAGAATAAATGTGCATGTTACTTATTGTCAAAGCATGGAAATTAGTTATTTCTCCAAATCCAAAAGCTTCTGATCTCACTATAGTAAAGAAAGCTAATTCCTTGCTGAATCCTTCAGATGTCATCCTGGTTGCCATGGCAGTTAAATAGGACCAGCGACACAGTGTGTGAGTTTAAGCGGATTGTCACCCATTAGGTGCTTTGATGAGCCAAAGCTGTTGACGTGTCATCCATTGTTGGGGAAGTGACTAAGAACTGTACGGAAACACACTCACAAACCCACACTGAGCTGGCTGAAAACAGATGAAGCACTTCATTGTAAGGAACATGTTCACTTCCATTAAATGTCAGTCAGTCATTTTCTACCGCTTATTCCATAGTGGGTCGCGGGGAAACTGGTGCCTATATCCAGCAGTCTATGGGCGAGAGGCGGGGTACAACTTGCACAGGGTCCATCACAGAGAAACACAGAGACATACAGGAGACAAAACAACCATGCACACTCTCTTACCTAAGGATAATTTACAGAAATCAATTAACCTTATGTCAAGTCATGTTTATGCGCTGTGGGAAGAAACCAGAATACCTGGAGAGAACCCATGCGTGCACAAGGAGAACATGAAAACTTCATGCGGAATGACTGCAGGCTAGGATTCAAACCCAAGACCTTTTCGGGGCAAGGCAACAGTGCTACCAACTGCTCATTCTTTTGATTTCCACACATGGTCAAAATTAGACATACAGACCCAAAAGTATGCCTTCACTAATATTCTGATGTTCTTTACAAAAAGAAACAACTATTGATTCGCCCCTGTTAGTCTTATCAACAACTTGACTTTATCTACCACATAGAAACTCTAGAAGCCTGAATTTGCATTCTGAATGCTGTTATTTGGTTCTACTATCAAGAGTCTGTTTTTCATTTATTTGTTCCTTACTGACTGTGAAACAAATTAATCTTTTGAGATAAAAACCATTATGTGGACCTAATTCATTTTTGATTAGATGTCCCATAACAACTTCACCTCATTTACACTCTTTTTCAATAAGCGTATAGCATATTTTGGGGGATATTTGACCAGTCTTCTTTTCTGAATTCGTGGAGCTTGCTTGACTCTGTTCACACTGGTGTTCCAGCAGGTTCCACTTTATGGGAGGTATAAGCTTCGGTGGATCCTTGGTTGTTCCCGAACATCCTGACCAATTGCCTTTCATCTGAGGGTTACGTTTTATTTGTTCTGCCAGACTGATTAATTGGTGACATGCTAAAATAAATTGTACTGAGCAGATCATCTTTGATTCTGCTGCTTTAAATACTTTTCACTAATTGTGTACCTTAAATCTCACATTTTACTTTTTTCCTCACATCCTCACATATTTGCACTTTCCAATTGTTCTGAGTTTTGTCCAATGAGTTTTGATACACATATCCTGTTTTTGCAAGCAAAAAAAAATGTATTGGTCATCAATAATGATGAAAGGATTACCCGGCTTTGAAGGTCCGAAGTTAAGACATTGGACAACCTTCAGCACCACTAATTAAATGATTTAGGCAAATGCCAAAATGCCTGTATTTATAAGTTTAGTCCTTGTGTGTGTGTTAGAAAAAGTTTACAGTTGTATCTAATTTCTGTGCTTGTCGCCTATTTTTCAAATTAACTGCCGCAAAATGTGATTAAAACCTAAACAAATGGGAATAGCGTTTACAATACAATGTTTTCAGACAATAATAAACAATTAAAAATGTCATTATAAAAGATATCCTAGCATTTTCTTGAACATTTATTTGCATAAATCATAACAATAAAACAAAACCAAAGATTAAATGACAATGTGTAGGTAAGAAATGGGGGTCCAACTTGACTGAGAACAAACAGTGCCAGAGCCACCCATTTCTTTTTTTAAAGATTATTATCATTAAAGACTGGATCCTTCATTATTCCATTTCCGTTGAGCAATGTTCAAGGACCTTTGGCATTGAAACAGACCCACAACATGATGCTACAGTTGATACAGTGTTCTTTGGCTTGAAGACCTATCTTTGACTCCTCCAAATACACTTTTCCTGTCACTGTGGCCAAACATTTCACCCTAAAATGTATTGGCACGAAATGGCAAAACGGCAAACTGACCCAGTATTATCTTTTATGCATCAATAAAATGCATTCATATCCATGATGAGTGTATGTAAACCTCTGAACAGAACTGTCTAGTCTCAGGAGTTGACTTCTATTGTGGAGGACCTTGGATAGCTCCACCTAAAATCTGAGAGCAGAAAATCTTAAATCAAAATAAAGGTGAAGGAAAATGTTATGCTTTTTTTTGTTTAACAATCAGCAGTTCTGTTAAACTTTCTTTTTAAATTTTATTTTCAGTTTATTTGCTAATGTATCTTCTTTCTACTAGTCTTATGTAGTCCATTATTTTCCCATTTAAGTTCAGTAAAACTGTTCCGAGTAAATTTTCATATTGATGCATGGTTACTGTTTGTTTTTCCATTCATCCAGTGTGAACAACAGGACATCAGGGGCTGGTGAATCATCTTCCATTTGCGGGGATTTATCTATTTAATAACTCTTAGAGTTGTATTTTACCACCCTGAGGACTTTATAATAATTCATCCTGGCTCTCAGTCATCATTAATGTGTCATTTTTTTCCTCCATCAAGTCCCCTGTTACAGTACCACATTTCTCCAACTCTTCAGAGGTTTCCAGCCACTGACCCTCAAGGTGTATATAAAACCAGAGAGCGTTTTGCCACCAATGAATTCACCAAGACGCCATAAAGGGAGAGAACCAAACACAATCAGGGTGATTCTCTCTTTTACCTTGCGTGATTCCAGCCTGTGAAGTTCAGATAGCCAACGTTTTCTCCTTCAGCATCAGTCTCAGACCATGGACACAGCTACAGTGGTGACTCTTCTGGCTCTGATCCTGGCGATGGCTGGCGTCAGTCAGGCTCTTCACATCCAAGGCAGCGAGGGTAAAAATGACATGCTGCCTGGCAGCTTGGAGGAGAACATGGCCGACCGCCTGATGGGGCTGGTGAGACAACATACTATGCACACACACTCTTTGATCAATTTATTCTGCTGTCTCATGTAGATTAAGGCTACTTTTATAAAATACACTTTCTCAAGTGCAAAATAATTTTGTCACCATCAAATGAAAAAAACACAAATGTTAAAAGACACCATGGACACTTATGGTGTCACACTATTCAGTCTATGCTAAACATGGACTGTCTGCCACATTAAACTCAGTGAGAGTTTTTGCACAGACAGAAGTCACGCAAACATGTTCAGAGTCTGTCACTTCATGTGGTGCAGAATTTAAATGGGAAACGAGCCCTTTATGAAATGAGGAGGGATCAATCACAGAGCTCATTTAGATTGTAGAAGGCACTCCTTTTCAAATATTGGATCACGCTGTTATATATATTCAAATCTCTACGTCTGAGGAAAGACTTGGTTTCAGCTGAAAAGTAAAAAAAGTGATTATTTTGTGGCTTGTAGGAACAGATGGATCTGAGTCTGGTTTTGCTTTAAATGAGATGAAATGGATACATGGGAGAACAGAAAAAAAAATTTTTTTCAAGCTTGTCCGACACCACAGCAGCTCAGACCGTTTGGAGGTGTGTTGTAACCTGAAAGCGACACATTTGTAGGATTTTTTTAATAAAATCTTTTTCAAACTATGCTGTTATTGTTTGAGGATGCTTGCTTGTCTGGGTGTAAATGTGTGTTATGTGCTTCAGGAGATAGAAAGCATAGAAAACAGCCATGATGATCGCCTGCTGGCTTCAGTGCTAAGAGCTCTGCTGCTGGGAGTCCAGAGAGAAACCAGGGAATCTGTCCTCCATCAGCCACAGAGGTCAGTTATGATAGTTTATGTGTCTAATAAAATGTTTCACCAAGCTGACACTGCAGCTTACTTGATACTTTTTGTGTTACTCTGCTACCTAAAATTTATTAACTTAAAACATAAAACTATAAATAAACTTTATTTATTCCTGTTATTTTCGACCAAACATACAAAAATGCACAGCGGCTACACAATTCAGACCATTGTCCAGAGGGTCCTGATTTGGAGTTTAGTTTAAAAGTTAATAGTATGTAAAATATCTCTATGTTTGCATGTTTAAATAGTGGAAAGTGCAAGAAGCACAATAATTAACCATTTCATGGAGGCAATGGTTTGTATTGTATTGAGTGTAGAAAATTGCTGCTGTTACTATAAAAATAGAAATATGTTTCCGTCTGTAACACAGGTGTCGGCCTCAAAGGGTTAGAAATCATTCTGCAGGGTTGTTTTCCCTCTTATGTAACAGCAATTTAAAGTCTGCTCTGTAGCATATAATTAAGGTCGGAAAGAAAAACAAAGTAAATACAAATGATTTTTATAACTGCAGGTTTAGATGTGCATTGAGCTGAAAAGCATTATAGCTTTTATCTTGCTAATTATTTCAGAAAGACTTATTTATTTAGATTAAACTCAAACTTACTCAGGGCTGCATGGTGGTGCAGTTGGTAGCACTGTTGCCTTGCAGTAAGTAGGTCCTGGGTTCGACTCCCAGCCGGGGGTCTTTCTGCATGGAGTTTGCATGTTCTCCCTGTGCATGTGTGGGTACTCCAGCTTCCTCCCACAGTCCAAAGACATGCCTGTTAGATTAATTGGTCTCTCTAAAATTGCCCTTAGGTGTGTGCATTTTTGTTTGTGTGCTGCCCTGCGACCTGTCCAGGGTGTACCCTGCCTCCCGCCCATGGACTGCTGGAGATAGGCACCAGGTCCCCTATGACCCACAATGGAATAAGCGGTATAGAAGATGACTGACTGAATCTTACTCAAACTTACTCAAGCCTTTGTGTAACTTCACATTTTTTATTCTAAAAATACTTTTACTTTAATTATTTTCTACTTATTCAAAAACACAGCTTACTTCTTCTGCAGAGTTAATCTAAAGTTTCTCACTGTAATTATCCTGAAGCTCAATGATTCTGCTTTGGTCTTGCAGTATTCATCATAAAAGCAATGGTTTATGCAGTATTAGTTTTTGCAGAAATCTTGAAAATACTTGAGAACACTTGAGAATACCGCCATACAGTTTATATCAGCTTAAATTAGAAGTCTTTATTTTTTTAATTATCCCACACAGGTTTGGCCGCAGCTCCAAA